AATGCCTTGGAAAATAATTCCAAGTTCCCTACGTGAGAGGGAGTCTTTCTCAGCAAAGAATTGTTGCGTGAGTAATCCCTTGCAGCTAATACATGTGTCCCAATTAATTCGAAGTGATCCCAATTAATTCCAAGTAATAAAATCCTTGAAGCTCACGGCCCATTTCTATTTTCATGCCAATATTATTTTATTGGGCACTTTTTTTTATTGCAATGCTAGCTCACTTTTCACATTTATTGGCCCACATCAAACTATTCGGCTTGGGCCTATGGGTCCTCAATAATTGCTCGTGTGAACTCCCGTCCAATGCTTCGCGTCCAAAAAAATACTCCAAAATATTGAAAATAACACATAAAACATCAAAACAAATAAATTCATCTAAATAATAAATAAGACAAAAATATAAACGTGCGTATAAATTAAGTATATATAAATACACCATTAAATATATAAAACGCGCACATTTTTCGGCCTATCACACATACGATCTATCTAGATTTCAGAGTGGTGATCAAACTCCGCTGTGGTCAAGAAGGGTGGGAGTAAGTAAAAGATGTGCATTGATTTAAGAGATCTCAACAAGACTTCTCTGAAAGAACACTACCTTATGTCGAGGATAGACCAACTTGTTGACTAAACCATAGGAAGCGAGCTGCCCTATATGATGGACGCCTCCCAGAGGTACCACTAGCTACCCTTAGTGATGGAAGACCAGAAGAGGGTCAGTTTTGTGACGTCCAAAGGCACCTACTGCTACGTGGTGATTTCTTTTGGGCTTAAGAACGTAGGGGCGACGTACCAGAGGCTGGTAGAAAAGATGTTCATGAAGATCGAGTGTAACATGAAGGTCTACGTAGATGATATGCTCGTGAAGAGCAGGAAGGCTGAAAGTCATGTCAGCGATCTGAAGGAGACTTTCTATATGCTGTGGAACTACGACATGAAGCTCAATCCATCGAAGTGTAAGTTCGGAGTCTAGTCGGGTAGGTTTTTGGGGTACTTGGTCATGAAAAAGAGGATTGAGGTTAACCCAGCAAAGGTGTGCTCAAGATACAAACGCCGAAGAGTTTGAAGGAGGTCCCGGTCCTTATAGGTCTTTTTGCTAGTCTGAGTAGGTTTATTGCTCTATCGGCGGAGAAAAGCTTCCCATTTTTCAGGCTTTGAGAAAGGGATCTCGATTCGAGTGGACACCCCATGCACAATAAGATTTCTACCGTCTTAAAGCCAGAACGTGGGGACGACCTTGTTATTTACCTTTTTATACGTAAGGTTGCGATCAGTTCCATTTTACTAAAGGAAGAAGCACTACAAAAAAAAAAAAATGATGAAATTCCAACGAAAATATTTTCCAATAGAATTCCAACGACAATTCCAATGGATATTTCAATGCTATTATTTCCGTTGGAATTATTTAACGAAAATTCCAAGAAAAATATTCCATTGGAATGAATTTTTCATTGGAATTTCCGGTGGATTTTAACGATTCCAACGGTAGTGGAAATAAAAATTCCAACAGAAATTGCATATTACAACGGAAATTCCTACAGTCAAAAGTTGTTGGAAATATAGCTGTTGGAATCATCAAATTCTATCTAAAATTCTAATGAAAAATACATTCCAACGGAATATTTTCGTTAAAATTTCTATTGGAATGATTCCAACGGAAGCTATACAATTAGAATATCCGTTGGAATTTCTATTAGAATATATTACCATAGAATTTTCTGTTGAAATATAACATTTTTCTTAGTGAAGGAGGTCATCTGAAGCCTATATACTATACGAGCAAAGTCCCGCAAGGCGGAGAGTTGAAGTATTCAAAGGTGGAGAAAATTGCATTGACACTTATCTCGATGGCATACAAATTGCGGCCTTATTTCTTCACAGATAAGGTAGTGGTCCGGTCGAATTACGCTTTGAAGGATATTCTAGACCAACTTTAAGCCTTAGTAAGGATGATTAAGTGGGCTAAAATTAAAATAGAAAAGAAAATATCTTAATTTAATTTATGACATGTACGTATTAAGAAGATATTTTTTAGACTACTCTGAAAAGAAAGTCAACATTGAATTGGCAAAATAATTGTGTTGAATAATGAGCGTTTGAAATGGTCCTGATGAGCTAACGGCCTATTAAATTCTTCAAACACACGGTACCTGTCCCCTCTCTGTCATTAATAAACTAAACTACAACAGAAGAAAAAACAAAGTAGTGGAAAGACCCCCGAAAGGCCGAAAGTTCAAAGTCCACCCTCCTTAATCGGCCAAAACGATTTCACTAACTTCATTTGGATGGAGGAATTTCGCTAAGCTGCCAAGTACTTTTTTCAATCGGAATAGTTTCGAAAATATGAAAAAAAAAAATTATCGTATTCTGATATATAGCACGAATAACAATATGAATATGTATCTTAAAATTTATGATAAAATTTAGCTATATAGCATAATATAAACGATTTGGCCAAAAGAAAGAGTAATGAATAATGAAAAAAATACTTGATTATGTGCACATGCATGCACATACATAAATATATTAATGGTTATATTTATATAATATTAAAATTATAAATTAAATTATTATATTATATTCTAAAATTTTGATAATTAATAAAACTAAATTACAGTATAAACTATTTAACTACATATGAANACTAAATGAGATGACGAGAAAAAATTGATTTCATAATAAATAACTTTGAAAAACTACAGTACATTTTTTTCTATATTTATGTTAACTTCTACATACCAATAATAAACTTGTTCCACTGGAAAATACCAGTTAAATATCGGGTCTACCGAATTCTTATACTTTTATTAATACAGTGAAAGGTCTACACTTCAAGTAATATGTTTACATTGCTATTAAATTTTACTATTTATTAAAGTTAAATTTATACATTTTTTCCTGTATTTTAATAATAAAATAATTTAATATTTGTTAAAATCGATAAAAAAATAATCCGTAAGATGGGTTGAACCGTAAGTCATCCGATGTGACTACCATGTTTAAAACACAATATAGATAACATAGTAATAATGAATAACATAAGCCTATCCATTTCCACTCATAGAGTCGTAGGTAAAAACAATACTTCTAAGTTCTAAGTTCTAAGTTCCAAGTTCCAACCTTAACAAAAAAATAAAAAAAATAAAAAAATGGTTCCCACCTTCTTCTTCTTCTTCTTCTTCATCTTCCTCCTCCTCCACACAAGCTTCCTCTTCTTCTCCGCGCAATCTTTCTGCTACAACAACGGCAACTACACTGTCAACAGCACCTACGCTGCCAACCTCAACGCCGTCCTCTCCTCCATCCCCGACAACATCGACGTCGCCTCTGGCTTCTACAACGCCTCCTCGGGCCGGGCCCCCGACCGGGCCTACACTACCGCCCTCTGCCGTGGCGACGCCCAGCCCGAGATCTGTCGCGGCTGCATCCGGAACCTCACCTCCGACCTCCTGGAGGCGTGCCCATACCAGCGTCAGGCCATCGAGTGGACCGAGTTCTGCATCCTCCGATACTCCAACGATTCCCTTATCGGGATCCCCCCGCAGTCCCGGCCCGCCGTGTTCGTGTCGAACACGCAGAACGCCACGAACCCGGCCCGGTTCATGGAGGACCTCCGGGCCCTGCTCGACGGTCTACGCGACCGGGCCGCGGCGGGAGGGCCCCGGCGGAAGGTAGCGGCCGCGAACGTGACCGCCACCGATTTTCAGTACATCTTCGCGCTGGTCCAGTGCTCGCCAGATCTGACCGCCGACGACTGCAGCAGCTGCTTGATCGGCGCCGCCACGGATATACCGACTTGCTGTGATTGGAGGAGAGGGGGTAGGGTGTGGTGGCCCAGCTGCACCATCCGATACGAGACGTATCCCTTTTATAATTTGACCAGGCTCCGGGAGCTTGAGCCGGCGCCGCCGGCGCCTGCCCCTCTGCCACCGCCGCCGCCGGTGGTGGTGCCCCAGCAACCGCCTCCGCCGGGTAATTGGACAAATTTCTCTCGAAATTGCAGTTTCAGTCAATTTAGCATCTTCAATTGCAGTTTTGGTTCAGTCAAAAACCTTCTTTTTTCATCTTGAATTGCAGTTTTGTTCAAAGTCAAAAGCCTTCTTTTTTCTTTTTCAGTTTTTCTTTATGGTATTTATTCTTCATTTAGCCTAAAGCTCCAAATCTTTTTGTTATGTTATCATTAACAAAGCAAGGCCACACAGTATTTCTTATTTGATGCCTTCTAGGATGATTTTTTTTTTTTTTGATTTGAGATAGATTTGTTAAAGTTGACTTTGGGCTGTTCATCGTCTTTCTTCTGTTTAATTGTTTGCTGGTTAATTAATTAGATGATGTGTTTTTCACATCAGACAGGTTCAAGATCATGCCACTTTTCCTACACAGCACATTGATTGTGAACATTGTATCAGACAAAAGGGGAAAATATCAAATATCAAAGCAAAGAATTGAGTTTTCATTTATGTATCATTACGGCTGATAGACTATTTTTATATTTTGCAGGAACAAGTGGTGGCAACAATAGTACAACCAGAACTATTATCATTGTTGTAGTATCAGTTGCAGCTTCCCTGATATTAGCCATTTTCGCGTTCGTTCTGTTTAGAAAGAGAACAAAACGAAAACCAGAGGAACAGCATCAGAGTAAGTGCACTTGATGATATTTATCGAAATCCTTTACGCTTTCTTGATGTTCAACTAAGTTTTATATATCTTTCAATCATTTGAAGCTGACGATATTAGCAACTCCATCGAATCTCTCAAATATTCCTTCACCACACTTAGAGAAGCCACAAATGATTTCTCGGATGTTAACAAACTTGGTCAGGGTGGTTTTGGTACCGTTTACAAGGTAGCTCGGTAGAATCATGCAAATGCCCTTGTGCAACAATTTAAAGTAAAAACAAAATCAATAAATAAAGAACGAGTATTTTCTCATTATGTACTAGGGCGTACTTTCAAATGGCCAAGAAATAGCAGTGAAGAGATTGGCCGAGAACTCGGGACAAGGAGATGTGGAATTCAAGAACGAGGTCTTATTGTTAGCAAAACTACAACATAGGAATTTGGTTCGACTTTTGGGCTATTGCTTAGAAGGAACCGAGAAGCTTCTTGTGTACGAATTCGTGCAGAATGCGAGCTTGGATCAATTTATATTTGGTAATATGATGCACTTTTCCTAATTTTTGTTAAAAAGTTAATATCTTTAGAGATTGACTTGAAATTCAAATTATTTTTCTACATGAAGACCCGGTCAAACGCTCGTACTTGGATTGGGAAAAACGGTACAAGATCATAGGAGGCATAGCAAGGGGAATCTTGTACTTGCATGAAGATTCTCAGCTTAGGATCATTCACCGTGATCTAAAACCCAACAATGTACTTTTAGATGGATCGATGAACCCTAAAATCGCAGACTTTGGCATGGCGAGGCTATTTGGACAAGATGAAACTCAAGGAAATACAAGCAGGATTGCTGGAACATTGTAAGTACCACTTATTATAGGACTAGTAACCATTTAAGAATAAGCATTATTCTTACTACCATTATTGAAATCATAAATATTTAACAATTATTTACCTAAATCAGTGGATATATGGCTCCGGAATACGCAATGCACGGCCAGTTTTCTGTTAAGTCGGATGTCTTCAGCTTTGGGGTGCTCGTCTTGGAAATCATTAGTGGCGAGAAAAATAACTGTGTTCGGCGTGGGGAGAACATAGAAGACCTCTTGAGCTTTGTAAGTATATATTATTTAACAAAATTGACCATTATACAATATAAATCACACTAAATTTGGGTAATATATCCAAAAATTGGTATTGAATTATAGGCTTGGAAAAATTGGAAAGACAGTACGGCGGCAAATTTCGTGGATCCTTGCCTGAGGTCTGGTTCGGGTTCGATAAGTGAGATTTTGAGATGCATTCATATTGGTTTGTTATGTGTTCAAGAGAACCCGGTCGATAGGCCAACAATGGCTTCTGTTGTACTAATGCTTAATAGCTTCTCGTTAACTCTGGCGGCTCCTTCTGAACCTGCGTTCTATATGCCGAGTGACTATGGCTCGGATTCTTCACTCCTTCAGGATCATCGTTTGAGGGAATCCGACTATAAAAATTCATCGAAAAGCAGCATACCATCCGATAAGTCTTCATCAAGAAATGATGCATCGATCACGGACTTATATCCACGTTGATCTGTGAGAAGATTCACAAAGTTTTATATGTGGGGACTGTTGTTAACTTGTTATATTATGTTGTCTGAATGAATACTTGTTCATTTTTCAGTTGCACTACACTATTCATGTCGTGTGTTTCCATTTTTTGTAGCATCATGTACATCATTTAGTAAGTAAGTTCTATTTAGGCTGTTTTACTGGTTATTGTGATATCTAGTGTGCAATAGGTTTCCTTCACAGACCAGAGTGTGGCTTATCCCCTATATTAGAACGTGTTGAGCTTAAGTGACAGACTTGCATGCAGGGACGTAGCCAGAAATTTTTTTGATCTGGGACTGGGACTGCATATTATTGTAGCTATTATTGGAATCGAGTAGACATGGTCATGCGCCGACCCAGCCTGTCGGTTCGAGCAGAACCGACAGAAACCGACCCGTTCACCATGGGTCTTGAACCGGCCCATGGTTTTAACAAGTTCGGTTCATGTACAATATTTTAAAGTTTATACATTTTGAACCGGCGGTTTTGGTTCCGACCTGGAACAGGAACTCGAGGTTCGGCTTTTTTTCAAAAAATATATTATTTTTTAATTATTTTTTATTTTTTTTAATGAACCGGACGACCAAGAACCGACAGTTCAATGAACCGGCCCGTGCATATGTTCGTGCTGGTTTAGGGTCCTCCATCTCTTACAGAGTTTAAATATTTATTTAAACAAGCTAAACTCAAATAGCTAATCGAACTTGTCGATCAAACAAATATAGTCGAGCATGTTTGCACTCAACTCTGTAAGAGTTTTTTCTTTGTCTAAGAAATGAGGCCGAATTAATTATTGGAGGCGAAATAAAAAAATAATAATAAATGAAAATGGATAACGAACTGTGCAATGAGACGAACCCAATTAAATAACCCGCATGAGAAGTGTGTGTCAAGCTTAATTAAGTCGACTCATTAAAAATTAAAAAGCAAGAGTTTGTTGGACTACATTATAAACTCAATTGGTAAAAATCTAATAAGGACACAATTGTTATTTGACAATTAATGATTATCTTTTTTTCTCTTACTGCGATTATCAGTTTTCCACCATAGTTGTCATATAAAAAATTTCGACCTAAATCTTGAGACATCCAAGCCGAAATTAAATGGGGCTACATAAAAAATTACATGGGGCTAACGGGGTTATGTATAAATATTTTTTAAAATATAAGGTTAGTAATTTTTTTTTTTTTTTTTGGGACATGGGGCTGGAGCCCACCCTAGCCCTAGGGTGACTCTGCCCCTGCTTGCATGCTTCTTAATCCTATTTAGCACAATTATATGTTTTGGAATAACACATAATTAGGCTCGGTTGGCAACTAGGCATTATAATTATTATAATATCTTGTAAAAGACATTTATTTATTTCATTTTTTACCAATAAATCTTATAATAATATTGATATGGGATACCATAGGGGTCGAATAGACCCGATAAACCAGCCAACCAGGCCGGGCAAATCAGTTAGTCAAACGAAGCTACAAGTCGTACAAAGTTCTCAGGTCGATGAGGACACATGATTTTGACGATCTGTTGGAAGATCGGCAAAAAGAGTGAATTCTGCAGAAATGATTTGTAAAGAGTGTTTTTTACTATGATAGTGTTTGAGCTTGTGGTGTACTACCGTGTTTTTGTATTGATATCTGTTGTGGTGATGATGATTATAAGGTGTTGGATATCTCATTTAATGTGAAGAAATGTAAAATACAATTATGTCAACTTGCCACCTTAGCGGCTAGGTAATCGACGCGTGGTGCCATGCTGAAATTCGACTTTTGAGGATGTGATGTATCATCTTTGCAGGGCAAGACTGATTAGGCGAAATGCAAGGCCGATTGGGTGATGGCTTTATCGATTTCGACGGCTTTACTGGTATAGTCTGTCAGAGAGTGATCGACAGACAACATGCCATACTTTGATGGGCCGGATCTTTTCTTGGGCCATACAACAATAATGATTTATAATTATTTAATATGACACGTGTTTTATATTCAATATGTCAAAAATAAAAATTTTTCAATCACAATTATAAAGTTTTATTAGAGTGTAGTAGACATATAGTTGTTAAACGAAACAAGCCTCTCGTGAGCTCGACTCGTTTGATAAACGAGCCAAGCTCAATCGCTTAGAGCTCGTTTCGTTAACGAGTCGGGCTTGGTTTGACTCGACTCGTTAAGACTCAAAAGAGGATGTTTATATAATTTTCTATAGTTTGACATGTTAAAATTCGAGATTGACTCAAACTCTGTTTGTTAATAACTCAATATTGATAAACGAGCGTATTAGATTCGAGTATTAAATTAACTTTTTTAGACAATGGTATGGGAAGAGAGAAACTTTGAATCAGTAAATAAATAAATGTGTAAGACTATATATAGATGGTTGAAATGGTCAATATTGAGCAACTGCCTACTAACCTATCCTGTTTCCTTCAACAATAAACAAGACAACACAGTAGTGGAAAAAGCCGAAAGTTGAAAGTTCCAAGTCCAGCTTGAAATCAATAGATACATTTTTCCTGGCGTTTCTTGCTTTCCAATATGCCTTCATTTTGACAAGTTTGGAGCAAACACAAACTTGCCAAAGAGAAAAAATGGCACCCACATTCTTTACAGTAATAATCCTTCACACAACCCTCATCCTACTCTTCTTATCCACCCGAGCCCAAGCCCAAGCCCGATCCTACTGCCTCAACAACAACGGCAACTACACCTGCAACAGCACCTACGCCGCCAACCTCAATGTCGTCCTCTCCTCCATCCCCGACACCATCGACTCCGCAACCGGCTTCCTCAACGCCTCCGCGAGCCGGGCCCCCGACCGGGCCCACGTCATCGCCCTCTGCCGGGGCGACGTCCAGCCTGAGATCTGCCGCGTCTGCATCCGCAACACCACTTCCCAACTGCTAACGTCATGCCCCAACCAGCGGCAGGCCGCCTCGTGGTCCAAGTTCTGCATGCTCCGCTACTCCAACGACACCCTTTACGGGATCATGGCTCCCTCCCCGCCCGGCTGGTTTTTGTGGAACATGCAGAACGCGACGGACCCGACCCGCTTCATGCAGGACCTCAGGATGCTGATCGACGGGCTTCGCGGCCGGGCGGCGGAGGGCGGGCCACGGCAGAAGGTGGCGGCCGGGAATGTGTCGACTGCCGATTTCCAAGTCATCTTTGCGCTGGTACAGTGCACGCCGGATCTGACGGCAGACGACTGCAGCCAGTGCCTGATTGGTGCGGCGCAGGATATTCCGAGGTGCTGTGATAGTAGGAGAGGGGCTAGGGTGTTGTGGCCCAGTGCAACATACGCTACGAGACGTATCCATTTTATAACTTGACGAGGCTCCGGGAGCTTGAGCCGCCGCCAGTGACTGCACCTCTGCCACCGGCGCCAGTGGAGCCCCAGCCGTCGCCTCCAGGTATTGGACGATTGCGAACATGATTTTTTTTACATGTTGTGGAATTTGCAGTTTCAATCCTTTAAGCATCTTGAATTGCAGTTTTTTGTTCTGAGATAAAAGCTATGTTTGGTAACCAAATAAGCTAGCTTAGTTTATAAACTTCATGTATTTAAATAAGTTTCATTTGGTAGGACGAGCTGATCTCATAAGCTTCTTTTCAAATAAGCTGCTCGTTGAAATTTTTATTTCAGCTAGCTTATCAGCTAATTTTACCAAACACTTTTATTATATAAGCTAGCTTATCAGCTAGTTCTACCAAACACACAGCCAAAAACACTCTTTTGTTAGTTTATTTGTTTTTTTTGCTTTATGGCAACTATATATTCTTCGGTTAGATTAAGCTCCAAAACCTTTCTATGATGATTTTCTTTTGTCTTTTTGTGATTTGAGATAGATTTGTTATTGTTAACTTTGGGCTGTTTGACGTCTTTCTTTTATTTAAGAAGTTTTCTTGTTAATCATTACTTTAGATGTGTTTTTCACATCAGGCAGGATCAAAACCGTGTCACATTTCTCAAGGAAGACAATCCACGTTTCCTAACCATTCACTGTCAACATTGTATCAGAGAAAAAAAANATCAGAGAAAAAAAAAAAAAAGTAGAAATATCAGAGCAAAACAGAATGAGTTTTTGTTTTGGTGACTATTTCAAATTCTGCAGGAACAGGTGGTGGCAATAATACAACCAGAACGGCTATCATTGTTGTCGTATCAGTTGTGGCTTGTGTGATATTAGCGATTTTTGCAGGCGTACTGTTAAGGAGGAAGAGAGTAAAACAAAAACCAGAGGAACAACATCAAAGTAAGTGCACCTGATATTTATTGAAAGCAATCCTTTACGTTTTCTTGATGTTCAACTAATTTTTATCTTTCAATCATTTGAAGCTGACGATATTAGCAACTCGGTCGAATCTCTCAAATATTCCTTAACCACACTTAGAGAAGCCACAAATGATTTCGCAGATGTTAACAAGCTTGGTCAGGGTGGCTTTGGTACCGTTTACAAGGTAATTTGATATTGCTAATGTAATAAAGAAAATATGACAAAATCAATAAATAAAGGAGTGTTAATTTTCTCATATGTACTAGGGCGTACTTCCAAATGGCCTAGAAATAGCAGTAAAGAGATTGGGTGAGAACTCGGGACAAGGAGATGTGGAATTCAAGAATGAGGTCTTATTGTTAGCAAAACTGCAACATAGGAATTTGGTTAGACTTTTGGGCTATTGCTTAGAAGGAACAGAGAAGCTTCTTGTGTACGAATTCGTGCAGAATGCGAGCTTGGATCAATTTATATTTGGTAATATGATTTTCATTGATGCTGATTACAATTTTTGTTATAAAGATAATATAATTAGAGATTGACTTGAAATTCAAACTAATTTTCTACACGCAGACCCGGTCAAACGCTCGTACTTAGATTGGGAGAAACGGTACAAGATCATAGGAGGCATACCAAGGGGAATCTTGTACTTGCATGAAGATTCTCAGCTTAGGATTATTCACCGTGATCTAAAACCCAACAATGTACTTTTAGATGGTTCGGTGAACCCTAAAATCGCAGACTTTGGCATGGCGAGGCTATTCGGACAAGATGAAACTCAAGGAAATACGAGCAGGATAGCTGGAACATTGTAAGCACACCACTTATATATAGGACTAGTAACAACCATTTAAGAATAATCATTACTAGTACAATACCCGTGTATTACACGGGTGTTGAATTAGAAAGTTTTTGTAAAAAATATTAAATTTTTTATTTTTTAAAAACAAAAATAATTTAATTTTATATAAAACATTACTTTGGGTTTTAATTAAATTGTCAAATTATATTTTTTTTAATCATAATAATTAAACACCCGTACATTAAATGAAAATTTCAACCCGTGTTGAATTTTTTACTTATATCATATAAAAATATTGATATTATCTACTATTACATAAGTACAATATATGTCTTAAATAAATATAAATAATATGGTGATATGTATATATGCATAAGTGTAGAATATATTAATTTAATATTAAGCAAAATAGATTAATTTTTTTACTTAATTAGATGTCTTATACATCAAGTCGTATCAGTCGTGCTTCACAATTTTTTAACTTTATATGTAATTTTAGAATTTATATAAATAATTATTTATTTTTATTACATTGACAACATACCAATTAGATTTAAAATAAATATCATTTTTAAAAGAATACATACCAATTTCTATTACTTTATAATATAATTTATAGTTTAATTTGATATAATTTAATTTAGTTTTATAAATAAATTTAAATTATATTTGTAAGGATATATATTACTGTTTTGTATTATATATATATATATATAAATAAATAGTAAAATACAAACAGACTTCATAATATCAATTCAAATGCAACACACTAATTAAGAATTTTTGTTCTTAACAATATTAACCCTATTTAATAGATGTTATGGAAAACAATGAAGATGGGATATGAAGAGACACTGTGTATTAAACGGAGGATTAAAAATGAAAAAATATGAACAAAATATTTAAAACGACATTTATTTTATCAATGATCTAGCCAAAGTGACAAATAATAAAAATAGGAGGGAGTATATATTATATATTTTAGTATGACACATGTTACTTGTGCGACTTATATGTGTTATATTATAATAAATTTTCTACCTTATAACATATAACTACATTAAACATAAATATATTCATTGATAAATAATTTTATTTTCTAATTAATTTTAATAAATAATTTTATTATTATTATAAAAATAAATATAATTTATGTATTTTATATATACAATATGGATGTCAAATCGAAACTCATCAAAAGATGATTAATTTGATATATTATATATGTAAACCGATAAGAAATACAAAAGTTATCAACTTTTAAAATATATTTGCAATTCATTGGTTATAATATGAAATGATATTAAAATACAATTAATACAAATATAAATTTATATCCAAGCCTAATTCCAAAACATGATTTTTTGCCATATAAGATTCCGAAGCATGAGAGTTTGCCACGTAGGCTCAACGCATTTTGAAATTATATATAGAGGGGATTATTCTACTATCATTTGTTCAAAATCATAAATACATCAACTATTTACATAAATGCAGCGGATATATGGCTCCGGAATACGCAATGCACGGGCAGTTTTCTGTTAAGTCGGATGTCTTCAGCTTTGGGGTGCTCGTCTTGGAAATCATTAGTGGCGAGAAAAATAACTGTGTTCGGCGTGGAGAGAACATAGAAGACCTCTTGAGCTTTGTAAGTATCTATACTTATATAATAAGAATTAACATTTATTCAAAATAGTAGGTCAAATTATGGTCAATGTCGGATTTGCATTAAGTATTTTCCAAAATTGGTAAGTTTTTGTCCTTTTCACAGTTCTCATTAATTATGTTATTTTCACACTTCTTATTAATTATGTCTTTTTCACACTTCTCATTAATTATGTCCTTTTCACACTTCTCATTAATTATGTCATTTTCACACATCTAATTTATTTATTAATTACAACATAATTATCAAAAATCATTCCATCTGAGCTTTTATCGTCAAAATGTATAGCAATCTGTTATGACCTTATCCCATTGGTATTTCCATGAAGCGTCCTTATCGCGTTCTATTTTTTGGTAACCACTCTATATCAATAACCGGATATTTGGTTAATGATAGCACACGTCTTTATTTCAAGGAGCGGATATTCTGTGACCTTTAATTAATCTGAACTGATTGCCTTGACTTTTCAATTTTTAAAAACTCTTTTTTTAAATATTTCGACTTAAAATTCGGATTTCATTATACAAGTCATCGAATTGTATGAATGAAAATGAATGAAAAGAACACCAAAAACAGGTAGCCTTATTCATATAATCAATCCTAAAATATTAGTTTGTTCACCAATCCTAAAATATTAGTTTGTTCACCAAAATTATTAGTTTGATTTTTAGGATTTGTCTCTTTTGAAAATATTAGTTTGTGATAATGAGGAGTTACCAAATAATCAAACTCATAATGTTGTGTACAAGGAGGTTTTTAATAATATATGATTGTTACCGAACTTTTTATGATTCAACAATGTTCCTATGTATTTTAATGATTTCAATTTCGATCCTAATGCACGTGAGGTTATATTATTCTTCCAAATTTTACATCCTGTGCATCGCACGGGTTACGTACTAGTATATATTTAACAAAAAAAGCTAAATTGCATTTTTAGGCCTGTTGGTTTAACGCCATAACATTTGTAGTCCCAAAATTCTAACATTTCGCCTTCTGGTCATGCGATTTAATATTTTGCTGCAATTTCAATCCTCATATGACTGAAATTGCTACAAATTCCCAAATTTATGAATTTTTTATTAGCAATTTAAGTTCTATAATTTAAAATTTTGTTGCAATTCTAATCCTCAAATGACTGAAATTGCTACAAATTTCCAAATTTATGGATTTTTTTTATTAACAATTTAAGTTCTATAATTTAAAATTTTGTTGCATTTTAATCTTATAATTTAAAACTTTGTTACACTTTCAGTCCTTCAAAGCTTAAATTACAGCAAAATATTAAATCATAGGACCAAAATGCGAAATGTTGGAATCTTGGGACTAAAATTGTTGTGACTTTAAACTAACATGACTAAAAATACATTTTTGCCTAACAAAAATGACCATTATACAATATAAATCACACTAAATTTGGTTAATGTATATATTCAAAAATTGGTATTGAATTGTGTTATAGGCTTGGAAAAATTGGAAAGAGAGTACGGCTGCAAATTTCGTGGATCGTTGCCTGAGGTCTGGTTCGGGTTCGATAAGTGAGATTTTGAGATGCATTCATATTGGTTTGTTATGTGTTCAAGAGAACCCAGTTGATAGGCCAACAATGGCTTCTGTTGTACTAATGCTTAATAGCTTCTCATTAACTCTGGCGGCTCCTTCCGAGCCTGCGTTCTATATGCCGAGTGACTATGGCTCGGATTCTTCACTTCTTCAGGAGCATCGTTTGAGGGAATCCGACTATAAAAATTCATCCAAAAGCAGCGTACCATCTGATAAGTCTTCATCAAGAAATGATGCATCGATCACGGACTTATATCCACGTTGATCTGTGAGAGGATTGCCAAAGTTTTATATGTGGGGGCTGTTGTTAACTTGTTATATTATGTTGTCTGAATGAATACTAGTCCATTGTTGAGTTCTTGCAATACACTATTCATGTCGTTTGTTTCCATTTTTTGTAGCAATATCATGTATATCATTTAGTAAGTAAGTTCTATTTAGGCTAAGTTTTATTTTATTGGCTTTGTGTTTTATAATGTGGAACTCAGATTACTTTTTAGATAATTTTATCTATTTATTTATCAAGTTTGTTACTGTTCAAATAATTATATCCTATGTTTACCAGTTGTGATTGCTGGTTAATTAATTATTAATTAGATGATGTGTTTTTCACATCAGAGTTCAGACAGGTTCAAAATCATGCCACTTCTCCTACACAGCACATTGGTTGTCAACATTGTATCAGACAAAAGGGGAACATATCAAATATCAAAGCAAAGAATTGAGTTTTCATTTATGTATCATTACNTATATATATTCAATCACATTTATAAAGCTTTTAGAGTGTGAAAATTAAAATTTTCAAGTAACGAGCATATTCGAGTATTAAACATTTAAACATTTTGAGACAATATTATGAGAAGAAGAAGACTTTGAATCAGTAGAATAATTGTGTATGGATTGTTGAAATGGTCAATAATGAGCAACTGCCTACTAATTTCTTCACGGGACCATCCTATTGTCCTTGCCTGTTCTGATTCCTTCAAAAATAAAAGAAGTGATCTGACAATTTTATTATTATAATCAAAATAATAATTAAACTATAATTGTTCTTGATACTAATATAATACACAATTATCTGAATAATGGTTAAATCTATATTATTAAATTATCAACATTTATATTATTCATCTTTAACTTATGTTTACAATTTAAATGAGTAACTAATACAATGACTAAAATTATACGTGACGCATATAATTAGAGAAAAAGTGATAATAAACATTATTTTATAGAAATATAAGTTATATTGATGTCATTGAAAATTAAGAATCATGAGATAATAAACAAACTTAAAAAGAAATGTGCCGAAACAATTTTAAAAGAAAAGGAAAAAAAACATATACTATCCTTTTTTAACATTAAATTTATTTATCAAACTTTTTAACATTTCATGCACATAAAATTATTATATAATAAAATAAATATTATGGACTGAAGTTGGTCAATTATCGACCAATGTGTAAATTATGAATTGTTGAAAAAAGTCAGAAGAATATGATAATCGACGATTTTATAAGTACATGTAAATAATTTGTATGCAAATATCATATGATCTTATACGTTTATAATATTTTTTAAACTTATAAATAATAAAATTTATATATTAAATAGTCAAAACCTACCAAAAAAAAAAAAGAAAATAATAATAATAGTAAATAAAAAAATTCCATATTATTATTTCAAAAAAAAAAACAAATTTCATATTATTACTAAATTGAATATTGTAGGGACTTTAATTTCATAGTCTTAAAAAATTAATAATATTTAAATAATTAAATAAATTTTGTAGTATACTTCATGGATCGCACGAATATCAACGCTGGTATTAAGTCGGTACTTATTGGAATCTTTTTAAAATATTAAAATGCCACTTGTGTGGAGTTGTCTTAAGTCAGACTGTCTTACCTATAAATTATAATAAACTAAGACTTGTCCGCGTATTTGAACGCAAATTTGATGTCAAATATAAGAACGTATCGGAAGTTTTTTTCCATGATAAAGAGGTAATTTTTGTTCTACTGTTTATCATATCTTTAGACATATAAATTTTCTTTAAAAGCTCTGTTTTATTTTATTAACGTGTGCTTCATTTTCCTTGATTATATAGGATGTACGTACAAGCAGGATGATTCGTTCAGTCAATATCCCATAATTTTAGAGAATTTCTTAAAGAAGGCCAAATTCATGTTGTTCGCAACTATCAAGTTGATTTAAACATTGGGTTGCATCGGTCCACAATTCACAAGTTTAAGCTTGTCATACATGATACGACCGATTTGTTGGAGTTTAAGCCCTCTAATGATTCGATTGCTCAAATCGTTGAAAGCACGTATCAAATGTTTAAGCAGGCAAGCGATGATCTCAATTATTTGAAGGAGAAAGCTATATTGGCACTGATACTTGATGTTGTTGAGTCTGTCAATGAATACATGACAACGTTGAATTTATCTGATGGTCATACATATTTAAGTTGAAAGTACTTGCAAGTTAAACTCTAATTACGATTTTCTATCTGATATCCACATGCCCAAGTTTTGAATAGTATAAAATGTTCTTGAATTCTAAATCATTAGTTGCATTTGAACATTGAAACTCATGTCATGTTGTTGTGGAACATGGATTAGTCTATGAGTCTATGTAACAAGACACTGTTAGGTTCTGACAAAACTCTTCACTCACGTTCTCGAGTGTAGGATACTCACTGGATATCCCACAAGCGAGAAGGAGTTGATTCTTAGAACGACTATATCTCATTCTGATGTCAGAAATCATTTCAAGTTCCAACGGCGGCAAATTCCAATTATTGTTCCATGGGCCATGACTGGAAACAAGAGTTACAGGTTAGAGACAATCGTTACGGCATGTTGCTTTATTTCTTAAGAAGTTGATTTCAGTCATAGACAGTTATACGTTGTTGTCTCATGTATCACCAATTGTAGTGGTTTGAAAATATTAGCATGTGATGACGATGACTCGTCAACAAATCAAACAAAAAATATTATGTACAGAGAGATATTCAGTAATTTATATCAATCCAAAAACGTTATGTACAAAAAAAATTTAATAATCGTTTGCTTTTGTTTCATATATAACAAGTCTATTAATTTTAATACTAAATATTTTAAATATTTCAATAAAATATATTGTAATTATCTTGAAAATATAGTGGAATTATTCGGAGTTTGTCCCGTGGTTTTTTCCTCTAATTGGAGGTTTTTCCACGTTAAATCTTGGTGTCATTTTTCTTGCATATTTTATTTGGGATATTCTTAGTATGCTCTGTGGTCGCAGTTTAATCTGATCTTCCACATCATAAAAGAATTATTCATGGTTTATTGCAAGAGATTTTTGTCATTCTTGAGTTATTGGGATTATTATTTTTATTCACCATTTCACGATAATGTTTTAATTTACACCTTCCGCATTTGGGCATATGACCCAACAAGTACCATGTTCAAACACAATACAGAAAACATAGTAATGAATAACAGAAGCCTATCCATTTCCACTCGTAGAGTCGGAGGTTCATAATCAGAGCCATAAACATACTTCCAAGTTCCAACCTTAAAATAAAAATTAATAATAATAAAAAATAAAAAAAATGGTTCCCACTTTCTTCTTCATCTTCCTCCTTCACACGAGCTTCCTTTTCTTCTCCGTGCAATCTTTCTGCTACGACAACGGCAACTACACTGTCAACAGCACCTACGCTACCAACCTCAACGCCGTCCTCTCCTCCATCCCCGACAACATCGACGTCGCCTCTGGCTTCTACAACGCCTCCGCGGGCCGGGCCCCAGACCGGGCCTACGCCACCGCCCTCTGCCGGGGCGACGTCCAGCCCGAGATCTGCCGCGGCTGCATCCGAAACCTCACCGCCGACCTCCTGGCGGCGTGCCCCTACCAGCGCCAGGCCATCGAGTGGGCCGAGCTGTGCATCTGCATCCTCCGATACTCCAACGAGACCCTTACCGGGACTCCCCCGCAGTTCTGGCCCTCCCACTTATTTTGGAACACGCAGAATGCCACCAACCCGGCCCGATTCATGGAGGACCTCCGGGCCCTGCTCGACGGCCTGCGCGACAGGGCCGCGGCGGGCGGGCCCCGGCGCAAGGTAGCGGCCGCGAACGTGACCTACAACGATTTTCAGGACATCTTCGCGCTGGTCCAGTGCTCGCCAGATCTGACCGCCGACGACTGCAGCAGCTGCCTGATCGGCGCCGCCGGTGAGATACCGACGTGCTGTGACAGGAGGGTAGGGGGTGGGGTGTTGTTGTCCAGCTGCACCATCCGCTACGAGACGTATCCCTTTTATAATATGACCAGGCTCCGGGAGCTTGAGTCCGCGCCGCCGGCGCCTGCCCCTCTGCCACCGCCACCGCCGCCGCCGGGTAATTGGACAAATTTCTCTCGAAATTGCAGTTTCAATCAATTTAGCATCTTCGATTGCAGTTTTTGTTCAAAGTCAATAGCCTTCTTTTTTTCATCTTGAATTGCAGTTTTGTTCAAAGTCAAAAGCCGTCCTTTTTCTTTTTTAGTTTTTCTTTATGGTATCTATTCTTCATTTAGTCTAAAGCTCCAAATCTTTTTGTTATGTTATCATTAACAAAGCAAGGCCACACAGTATTTCTTATTTGATGCCTTCTAGGATGATTTTTTTTTTTTTTNTAGATTTGTTATAGTTGACTTTGGGCTGTTCATAGTCTTTCTTCTGTTTAATTGTTTGCTGGTTAATTAATTATTAATTAGATGATGTGTTTTTCACATCAGAGTTCAGACAGGTTCAAAATCATGCCACTTCTCCTACACAGCACATTGGTTGTCAACATTGTATCAGACAAAAGGGGAACATATCAAATATCAAAGCAAAGAATTGAGTTTTCATTTATGTATCATTACGGCTGAGAGACTACTTTTATATTTTGCAGGAACAAGTGGTGGCAACAATAGCAAAACCAGAACTATTATCATTGTTGTAGTATCAGTTGCAGCTTCCCTGATGTTAGCCATTTTCGCATTCGTTCTGTTTAGAAAGAGAACAAAACGAAAACCAGAGGAACAACATCAGAGTAAGCGCACTTCATGATATTTATCGAAATCCTTCACGTTTTCTTGATATTCAACTAAAATTTATCTGTCAATATCATCTGAAGCTGACGATATTAGCAACTTCATCGAATCTCTCAAATATTCCTTCACCACACTTAGAGAAGCCACAAATGATTTCTCGGATGTTAACAAGCTCGGTCAGGGTGGTTTTGGCACCGTTTACAAGGTAAGTAATTCGGTATTGCTAATGTGATAACGATTTAAAATAAAAACAAAACCAATAAATAAAGAACGAGTGTTAATTTTCTCATATGTACTATAGGGCGTACTTCCAAATGGCCAAGAAATAGCAGTGAAGAGATTGGCCGAGAACTCGGGACAAGGAGATGTGGAATTCAAGAACGAGGTCTTATTGTTAGCAAAACTACAACATAGGAATTTGGTTAGACTTTTGGGCTATTGCCTAGAAGGAACCGAGAAGCTTCTTGTGTACGAATTCGTGCAGAATGCGAGCTTGGATCAATTTATATTTGGTAATATGGTTATCACAATTTTTTTGTTAAAAGTTAATATTATTAGAGATTGACTTGGAATTCAAACTAATTTTCTACATGTAGACCCAGTCAAACGCTCATACTTAGATTGGGAAAAACGGTACAAGATCATACGGGGCATAGCAAGGGGAATCTTGTACTTGCATGAAGATTCTCAGCTTAGGATCATTCACCGTGATCTAAAACCCAACAATGTACTTTTAGATGGTTTGATGAACCCTAAAATCGCAGACTTTGGCATGGCGAGGCTATTTGGACAAGATGAAACTCAAGGAAATACAAGCAGGATTGCTGGAACATTGTAAGTACACCACTTATATATAGGACTAGTAACAACCATTTAAGAATAATCATTATTATTCTACTATCATTTGTTCAAAATTATAAATATATCAACTATTTACATAAATGCAGCGGATATATGGCTCCGGAATACGCAATGCACGGCCAGTTTTCAGTTAAGTCGGATGTCTTCAGCTTTGGTGTGCTCGTCTTGGAAATCATTAGTGGCGAGAAAAATAACTGCGTGCGGCGTGGGGAGAACATAGAACACCTCTTGAGCTTTGTAAGTATATATATTTAACAAAAAAGCTAAATTGCATTTTTAGTCTTGTTGGTTTAACGTCATAGCATTTTTCGTCCCGAAATTCTAATATTTCGCCTTCTGGTCATGTGATTTAATATTTTGCTGCAATTCCAGTCCTCAAATGACTGAAATTGCAACAAATTCCCAAATTTATGGATTTTTTTTTGGCAATTTAAGTTCAATTTAAATTTTTGTTGCAAATAATTTAAAATTTTGTTGCAATTTCAGTCATTTGAAGACTGAAATTGCAGCAAAATATTAAATAATAGGACCAAAATGCAAAAAGTTAGAATCTTTGGTCTAAAATTGCTGTGGTGTTAAACCAACATGACTAAAAATACATTTCTGTCTAACAAAATGACCATTATACAATATAAATCACACAAAATTCTTGTTATAGGCTTGGAAAAATTGGAAAGATAGTATAGCTGCAAATATTGTGGATCCTTGCCTGAGGTCTGGTTTGGGTTCGATAAGGGAGATTTTGAGATGCATTCATATTGGTTTGTTGTGTGTTCAAGAGAATCCGGCTGATAGACCAACAATGGCTTCTGTTGTACTAATGCTTAATAGCTTCTCATTAACTCTGGCGGCTCCTTCTGAGCCTGCATTCTATATGCCGAGTGACTATGGCTCAGATTCTTCACTCCTTCAGGAGCATCGTTTGAGGGAATCCGACTATAAAAATTCATCGAAAAGCAGCATACCATCTGATAAGTCTTCATCAAGAAATGATGCGTCGATCACGGACTTATATCCACGTTGACCTGTGAGAAGATTGCCAAAGTTTTATATGTGGGGGCTGTTGTTAACTTGTTATATTATGTTGTCTGAATGAATACTTGTCCATTGTTGAGTTCTTGCAATACACTATTCATGTCGTTTGTTTCCATTTTTTGTAGCAATATCATGTATATCATTTAGTATGTAAGTTCTATTTAGGCTAAGTTTTATTTTATTGGCTTTGTGTTTTATAATGTGGAACTCAGATTACTTTTTAGATAATTTTATCTATTTATTTATCAAGTTTGTTACTGTNTTAAAAAAAAAAAAAAATATATATATATATATATATATTCAATCACATTTATAAAGCTTTTAGAGTGTGAAAATTAAAATTTTCAAGTAACGAGCATATTCGAGTATTAAACATTTAAACATTTTGAGACAATATTATGAGAAGAAGAAGACTTTGAATCAGTAGAATAATTGTGTATGGATTGTTGAAATGGTCAATAATGAGCAACTGCCTACTAATTTCTTCACGGGACCATCCTATTGTCCTTGCCTGTTCTGATTCCTTCAAAAATAAAAGAAGTGATCTGACAATTTTATTATTATAATCAAAATAATAATTAAACTATAATTGTTCTTGATACTAATATAATACACAATTATCTGAATAATGGTTAAATCTATATTATTAAATTATCAACATTTATATTATTCATCTTTAACTTATGTTTACAATTTAAATGAGTAACTAATACAATGACTAAAATTATACGTGACGCATATAATTAGAGAAAAAGTGATAATAAACATTATTTTATAGAAATATAACTTACATTGATGTCATTGAAAATTAAGAATCATGAGATAATAAACAAACTTAAAAAGAAATGTGCCGAAACAATTTTAAAAGAAACATATACTATCCTTTTTTAACATTAAATTTATTTATCAAACTTTTTAACATTTCATGCACATAAAATTATTCTATAATAAAATAAATATTATGGACTGAAGTTGGTCAATTATCGACCAATGTGTAAATTATGAATTGTTGAAAAAAGTCAGAAGAAGTGTTCACACTAGGGGCGGTACCATAATTAACCAACTCTTTAAGTGTGAACGCAACAAACCAAGTAATTACGGTACCGCCCCTAGTGTGAACACTCGCAGTATATAAACAACCTCGTCCTGCTTGAATTGCGAGGTTGTTTATATACTGCGAGTGTTCACACTGGGGGCGGTACCGTAATTAACCAACTCTTTAAGTGTGATAATCGACGATTTTATAAGTACATGTAAATAATTTGTATGCAAATATCATATGATCTTATACGTTTATAATATTTTTTAAACTTATAAATAACAAAAATTTATATATTAAATAGTCAAAACCTACCAAAAAAAAAGAAAATAATAATAACAGTAAATAAAAAAATTCCATATTATTATTTAAAAAAAAAAAAAACAAATTTCATATTATTACTAAATTGAATATTGTAGGGACTTTAATTTCATAGTCTTAAAAAATTAATAATATTTAAATAATTAAATATTTTTTGTAGTATACTTCATGGATCGCACGAGTATCAACGCTGGTATTAAGTCGGTACTTATTGGAATCTTTTTAAAATATTAAAATGCCACTTGTGTGGGGTTGTCTTAAGTCAGACTGTCTTACCTATAAATTATAATAAACTAAGACTTGTCCGCGTATTTGAACGCAAATTTGATGTCAAATATAAGAACGTATCGGAAGTTTTTTTCCATGATAAAGAGGTAATTTTTGTTCTACTGTTTATCATATCTTTAGACATATAAATTTTCTTTAAAAGCTCTGTTTTATTTTATTAATGTGTGCTTCATTTTCCTTGATTATATAGGATGTACGTACAAGCAGGATGATTCGTTCAGTCAATATCCCATAATTTTAGAGAATTTCTTAAAGAAGGCCAAATTCATGTTGTTCGCAACTATCAAGTTGATTTAAACATTGGGTTGCATCGGTCCACAATTCACAAGTTTAAGCTTGTCATACATGGGACGACCAATTTGTTGAAGTTTAAGCCCTCTAATGATTCGATTGCTCAAATCGTTAAAAGCACGTATCAAATGTTTAAGCAGGCAAGCGATGATCTCAATTATTTGAAGGACAAGGCTGTATTAGCACTGACACTTGATGTTGTTGAGTCTGTCAATGAATACATGACAACGTTGAATTTATCTGATGGTCATACATACTTAAGTTGAAAGTACTTGCAAGTCAAACTCTAATAACGATTTTCTATCTGATATCCACATGCCCGAGTTTTCAATAGTATAAAATGTTCTTGAATTCTAAATCATTAGTTGTATTTGAAGATTGAAACTCATGTCATGTTGTTGTGGAACATGGATTAGTCTATGAGTCTATGTAACAGGACACTGTTAGGTTCTGACAAAACTCTTCACTCACGTTCTCGAGTGTAGGATACACACTGGAGATCACACAAGCGAGAAGGAGTTGATTCTTAGAACGACTATATCTCATTCTGATGTCAGAAATCATTTCAAGTTCCAACGGCGGCAAATTCCAATTATTGTTCCATGGGCCATGACTGGAAACAAGAGTTAGAGACAATCGTTACCGCATGTTGCTTTATTTCTTAAGAAGTTGATTTCAGTCATAGACAGTTATACGTTGTTGTCTCATGTATCACCAATTGTAGTGGTTTGAAAATATTAGCATGTGATGACGATGACTCGTCAACAAATCAAACAAAAAATATTATGTACAGAGAGATATTCAATAACTTATATCAATCCAAAAACGTTATGTACAAAAAAAATTTAATAATCGTTTGCTTTTGTTTCATATATAACAAGTCTATTAATTTTAATATTAAATATTTTAAATATTTCAGTAAAATATATTATCTCGTGCATCGACGGGTCACCACCAACTACTAAGTGGAAAGACCAAAAAATATGTCATGTCAACCCTCAACTCTCCCGTATCAAACCCAAATTTCGATTTACAGCAGATTTTAAAAGTATTTGGGACTACAGATTTTTCCTCTGATTCCAGATTTCCAAAGTTTATTTATTTGCTTTTGAGTTCATGCGAAGAAATTTCAAGTCATATTTTCTTAGGTTTTCCCCAACGAAGATGTTTCAGTTAGCTTCATACTTCTCTTTATAATTTGCTTAGTTCCACAGTAAATTAAAAAAAAAAATGTTTCTAACATATTCTTCCTCATAACCCTCCACACAAGCTCCCTCTTCTTCTCTGCCCAATCCTCTTGCTTCAGTTTTAATTTTTTACAAAGAGCGTTACACTGCTGTACTGATATGAACGGTTGAAAACTTGTCGTCCACTTAATTCTTCGCTGGTCCACTTAACAGTGGAAAGACCAAAATGTATGTCAAGTCAACACTCCCAAATAAAACGAGGGTCCACTTAAGAGTGGGAAGACCAAAAAGTAAATTAAGTCAACACTCTCAACTAAAACCCAAATTTCGATTTACAGCGGCTTTTAAAGATTTTTTTCCTCTGCTTCCAGATTTTCAAAGTTTTTTTATTGGCTTTGGAGTTCATGCCAAGAAATTTCAAGTCGTCTTTTCTTAGATTTTCTCCAACAAACTTGTATCTGTTTAGCTTCATACTTTCTCTTTATAATAATTTGCTTAGTTCCACAGTCAATTAAAAAAGAAAAAAAAAAAAATGTTCCTGACATTATTTTTCCTCATAACCCTCCACACAAGCTCCTTCTTCTTCTCTGCCCAATCCTCTTGCTTCAGCTTCAACTACACTGCCAACAGCACCTACGCCGCCAACCTCCACGCCGTCCTCTCCTCCATCCCCGCCACCATCCCCGCCTCCACCGGCTTCTTCAACGCCTCCCTCGGCCGCCCCCCCGACCGCGCCCACGCCAACGCCCTCTGCAGGGCCGACATCCAGCCGGAGGACTGCCAGATCTGCGTCCGTAACATCACCGCCAATCTCCTGGCGGCGTGCCCTTACCAGCGCCAGGCCGCCGAGTGGTGGGAACTCTGCACCCTGCGCTACTCCAACGAAACCCTCCTCGGGACCCTGCAGACCTCACCCTACGTCTTCGTTCAGTATCCGCATACCGCCGCCAGCCCCGAAAATTTCACCGCCGACCTGTGGCGGCTCTTGGACGACCTGCGCGGCCGGGCGGCCGCCGGAGGGCCCCTGATTAAGGTGGCTGCCGGGAACACGAGTGGGCCCGATTTTCAGAACATTTACGCGCTGGTGCAGTGCAGCCCGGATTTGTCGGAACAGGATTGCACGGCGTGTTTGATGGAGGCCGCTCAGGAGATACCGAGGTGCTGCGGAGGGAGGGCGTGGGCTAGGATCACCATGTCCAGCTGCAACCTACAGTTTCGGACAGTCCCTTTTTACAACGAGACGAGGCTCCTCGAGCTCCAGCTGGCGGTGCCGCCTGCGCCAGAGGTGGAGCCGCCACAAGTGGCCCCTGAGACGCCGCCAGGTAATAAGCTCGTTTTCTTGCCAGACTGTGATTAGCCAATTGTGGAATTTGTGGATTTAGTCCTTCTAGGGTTTATGAACTGCACAAAAAACTCTAGTCCTTTTTATCTTTTTACTTTTTAGTAGAAGCAAGATTTTTTCTAATTTTGTTCGACATATAAAGATGCTAGCATAAACTTGTGATGTGATGGATTATTATTGTTTATGTATCATTTGATTTTTGAGTAAAGGGCATTGCAGATTTGCAGTTCTCTTTTTCTGTATTCAAAATTCGCCTGGTTAATTAGTTGGGTTATGTGTTTTTCACATCAGGTCGTGTATGACTCTTTTCTTGAGCNAAAGAAAAAAAGATTCGAATGTTGTTGTATATGATTACAAGGAACGAGTTAATTCAATTGATTTGCAGGAGGAGGAGATGGTAACAATACAACAAGAACGATTATCATTGTTGTTGTTGCAGTTGTGTCTTGCATAATAGTAGCATTTTTGGCTTGCACCCTGTTAAGAACGAGAATAAAGCGTAAACCACAAGAACGAGATAAGAGTAAGTGTATTTGGTATTTTATTAAAATCCAATATGTTTTCTTCTGTGTAAAATTTGCATATTTAACAAAACTTGTATGTTCCAAATATATTTAGGTGATGACAAAAGTATCACCATTGAATCCCTCAAATATGCCATAAGCACAATCAGAGAAGCTACAAATGATTTCTCGGATACTAACAAGCTCGGTCAGGGTGGATTTGGAGCTGTTTACAAGGTAATGAAGATTTGGATTAAGCGGAAGAAAAAATAAAAATAAAAAAAGAATCCAACAGTGTATTGGTGATGTCTTATGATTCGACACTAGGGTGTTCTTTCAAATGGAGCAAAAATTGCTGTCAAGAGATTGTCCGAGAACTCTGGACAAGGTGATGTGGAATTCAAGAATGAGGTTGTATTGTTGGCCAAGCTTCAACACAGGAATTTGGTTCGACTTTTGGGCTTCTGCCTCGAAGGAGCTGAGAAGCTTCTCGTATACGAATTCGTGCAGAATACGAGCCTAGACCATTTTATATTCGGTAAAAAAAATGATCACCTACAAAATAATTTCATGATGCTGGGTTATGTTTTTGTTCGCAATTAAGAAATTCACCTAAAAAATCACAATTTTATATTTTGTGTGTGTAGACCCTGTCAAATGTTCATATCTAGATTGGGAGAAACGCTACACTATCATAAAAGGCATAGCCAGAGGAATTTTGTACTTGCACGAAGATTCTCAGCTCAGGATCATTCATCGTGATCTCAAACCAAGTAATGTTCTTCTAGATGGTTCTATGAACCCTAAAATTGCAGACTTTGGCTTAGCAAAGCTATTCGAGCAAGATGAAACTCAAGGAAATACGAGCCGGATTGCTGGAACATAGTAATTATTTTAGAATATTTCATGTCCTTTTTATCTTTAATTCAAAAAAATTCCTTAGATCCTATATATAACAATAATTTGCACATTGCAGTGGATATATGGCCCCAGAATACGCATTGCACGGCCAATTTTCCGTTAAGTCAGATGTGTTTAGCTTTGGAGTGCTTCTCTTGGAGATCATTAGTGGTCTAAAGAACAATAGTGTCCGGCGTGGGGAGAACATAGAGAATCTCTTGAGCTTTGTATGCACAATTTTCCTTTCCTTTTCTTTTCTTCTCTTTTTATTGTCAAAATTACCACATCGAACTAAAATAAATAGTAAAATATCGAAAATTACAAATGAACGATTCATTACAGGCCTGGAAAAACTGGAAAGATCAAACAACCGCAAATTTGGTGGATCCTTGCCTAAGATCAGGTGCAGGTGTAATAAGAGATATGGTGAGATGCATTCATATTGGGTTGCTATGTGTTCAGGAAAACCCGACAGATAGACCGACAATGGCTTCTGTTGTTGTAATGCTCAATAGCTTCTCCATAACTCTGGCTGTGCCTTCCGAGCCTGCATTCTATATGCCTAGTGACTACGGCTCAAATATGTCACAGCATAATTCGAGGGAGTCTGAATACAAAAGTTCTTTACCAATTTTATCTGATAATTTTTCTAGAAATGAAGCCTCGATCACGGATTTATATCCGCGTTGATATGTGAGTTGAGAGAAAATGTTGTATGTGGGGGTTTTTATGTTGTTTTTTGTGGTTTGAATGCTAGCCCATTGCTGGATTGCTATACACTAAACTCATGTCACTTTGTTTAGATTTTGTGTAATACCATTTACACTAAAAGTTCTGTTAGTTATAAACAATAATTTCCCAGCTGCACAGAATGGCTTAGAGCATGCAAAATTGGTCCAAAGTGGCAAATCAAATCCAATTTTGACTTGTGGTTTGAGTAACAATGAGACTAAATTACAAAAAATAAAAAATTAAAATCAAAATACCTTTTTCAACTTTTGCGACAAAAGTTGCAATACCTCTAAGAGCATCTCCAACCATATTCTTTATCCATACAGTTTCTATAGTAAAATTCCACTAGTTTTACAGTTTCAACAGTGTCAGCAACTCCAATCCATTCCCTCTATAATTCCCCTCTAAAACAATATTCCAAGCATATTCTTTTTTAATTTTATTAGTTTATTAAATAATCTCTACAAATTCTATTTTAATGCATTATGCTTACTAAAATTTACATATCTATGAATATATATTAATTATTGATTAATAAGATTAATAAAATAAATTTAAATCAAAATCATAAAATTACACATTTCATAATAAAACCACGTGGATTACATTACAAACATTAATTTTAAAAAAAAAAACATCAACACAAACATGAAGCATTCAATACAATAAGAAATACGGAAAACAAAATACAACACTAGTTATTGCCATGGGAATATTTTTCCCACAAATGTGCAACCAATGCATTACGAAGTTCATAGTGGGCAGACTTATCCTTGATTTATTTATTAAATATAAATATTTTATATATTTATAAAAAATACATATAAAATGTGAATATATGTTCTAAACCATATATGGTCTAGTGTGTAAATTTGCACTAATTCATATATTTTCAAAAGTAACAGTTTTGATTCAATCGGTACATAGATGTATATGTATCTTCTTTAAGAAATTCAATTTATTACAATCATTTTTAAAATGTGAATATATGCTCTAAACCATATATGGTCTAGTGTGTAAATTTGCACTAGTTCATATATTTTCAAAAGTAATCTCTACAAAGAATATTCTAAGCATATTTTTTTCTAATTTTATTAGTTTATTAAATAATCTCTACAAATTACATTTTAATGCATTATACTTGCTAAAATTTACATATCTATGAATATATATTAATTATTGATTAATAAGATTAATTAATAAATTTAAATCAAAATCATAAATCACAAAGTATTCAATTTATAAGTGAATTTAAATACTAATTAGTATTCTATCATATTAATTAATAAAGTATTCAATTTTTTATTACACTAATTAAAATTCTACCATATTAATTACAATAAATAAGTTCATAACATTTATAAAAATATTTTAATTCAACTCATAAAACTAATTAATTCAATTAGCCTAATTGTAATTATAAAAGACCCACCCACAATACATCTAAATAGCCCACCACTTGCTATAGAGGATGGGTTGGAGATGCTCTAATAGACGAAATTTGCAAAAGCAATGTAACTCGATCATTCTCAAAAGTACTTATTGTTCCGCTCTTAAATTTAAAATCAAATTTAATAAAAACTTACCCAATAGCAAACTAATCAGCTCACAGTACCCATTGTTATGAACATTCAACAGCACACAACAATTCACTCATAACGCATATGCAAGAAATTAACTCACACTGAACATGGATACGGACGCCTGAAACCAAGCAAAACTTGAAAAAAAGCTGCTTGAAAGTTGAAATTCGCCTCGCACAACGAAAGTTAAGACCAGCCACAGCTCAGCCGCCATGGCCATGCGCCTAGCTAAATGCACTCTTTTTTCCGCGCGTATTTCAACAGTTGGTTCCAAATTAGCCATTGCCGATATTCATGCTCTCCTCTTGACTAGATCCTTATCAAACAACCCAGGTGAAGTTAGTCAATAATCATTTTTCAACTTTTACCCACAACCTGTTTGTGAAAATTACTGTTAGAAATGTATTTTATTTTTTAATTCGTACTTCCGTATGTTGCCCTGTATAAGAGTTCATGTTAAGCTTCTGATGTTGATCAAAAAGATAAAATTTACTATATCTGTGTTTACAGATTCTGTTTTTCTGTTTCTTTTTTACTAGTTGTGAAGGATTTTGTCTGGGTATCACTTTCTTATCATCAAGTTTCAATCTTTTTCATCTCACTGACTTTATCGTCAATATAGATGTTGTTAAGACACCTGATGATAATGAAGAATTTCAGAAATGGTGCAATGGGGGAGGCAAATTTCATAAATCTGCTTTTATCGACCCAACTGCTCGAATAGAGATTGGTGCTCTTGTTCATTCAGATTCTGTTATTGGTGCAAATGTGTCAATCGGGTCCGGAAGCATTATTGGACCTGCTGTTGCAATTGGTCAATCCACAAGAATGGGGTACGTTAATGCGCATTTTAGACAATAAATTGAGTTTGTGAAGTTCTATTTTTTTTTTCTTTATAATAGAAAAGCTGTTGTTTTTTTTGGTCTGCTTCTTGATCATACACCGGGCTACTTGCACCCGTTTTTCCTTTATATTTTTCCTAATTTATATATAAAAAGTTCTAACTGCCACTGTAAATAATAACCAGTCCTTATATTTTCCTTTGGTCGTATTTCTTTTCTTCACATTTTTCATATCAAGAAATTGTGGTGCACTTTCGGATTTTGATTCAATCAAACATATACTTTCTCAGTTACAATGTTGTGCTCAGTAATTGCACAATTGGTGATTCTTGCATTGTTCATCACGGGGTCTGCATTGGTCAAGATGGTGAGTACTGCAACTTGTGAAATTTTCTAAAACATATAATACCAATTTGCTAAGATTATCCAAAAGTAAATTCATATTTATCTTTCTTTGTAGGTTTTGGATTTTTCATTGATGAACAAGGGCTCATGGTTAAGAAGCCTCAGGTTAGTTATGAATCACAATTTTCTTATAATAGCTTTTGTTATTGCTTCTGTTTTGTAACTATTAATGACTTGAGTTTCGCATGCTTATAAAACTTAACACTTTCTTAAAATTTCGTTCTATATTCTCTCTCTAAAGTTTGTGATCTAAGTTTTCCTTTGCCATCTCTAGACATTAAAAGCAAGAATTGGCAACCATGTGGAAATAGGTGCCAACACATGTATTGACAGGGGCAGGTAAACTATGTGATTTCAATTTAACATTTTTCTTTTCATAAATTGTGTGTTCGAATCTGTTATATTTACGTGATACTCTTGTGACATCCATTCCCGTATAGTTGGCGAGATACAATAATTGGGGATCATACCAAGATTGACAATTTGGTACAGGTGAGGATCATTTCTTTTTCTTTTCATTTTTGCATCACTGCAATTATTTATTCTTAAGAATGTCATTTTGTGTGTCTTCATTTTTCCACAGATAGGTCACAATGTGGAGATAGGGAAAAGTTGCATGTTATGCGGACAGGTTGGGATTGCGGGTTCAGTAACGTATGCTATTTACGTCCATTTTTATATATACATCGATTTATGTTTAGACATAAGTTCATGTTTTTTGGATTTACACATAAATCTGTGTCCTTTTCAGAATAGGTGATTATGTGACGTTAGGAGGCAGAGTCTCGATTCGTGATCATGTCTGCATAGCATCAAAGGTGATTTTGCTTGTAATTCATTATGACATTTTGTTAGTACTGTTTCAACTTTCTCGTATATTTGAATCTGAACGCTAATAATTTGTGATGGCAAATGGGGATTCAGGTGAGATTAGCTGCTAACAGCTGTGTCACGAAGAGCATCAGTGAACCAGGGGATTATGGAGGTTTTCCGGCTGTAAGAATTTGGTGTTACTATTCATTTTTACCTGTAAATTACTGCACTTCAGTAAATTTTCCAACAATATGATCATCTTTTGCAGATTCCTATTCACGACTGGCGAAAGCAAGTCGTTAGCGCTCGTCAAATTTCAAAGGAATTTTGGCAACATAGAAGAAGATGAAGGATTTGCTTCAGGCCTACCAATTGGCATTGGTTTGATGTAGCCACTAAAAATCGTTCATTTTTGTTTTTCTCAATATATCTATTTATAGCTGAATTTAGATATTTTACTTTGATTCTTTGCTAGAACAATACAATTGTGAAAGCAAAAAGTCACACTGTCAGTTTCAATAGAGAGCAAGTGCCTGTTTTCAAGTGTTATATCTATGACCAAACATAGAATAAAATTAAAAAGAAAAAAAAAAAGAAAGAAAAAAAGAAAAAGAAAACTGAATGTACAAAACTTGAACTTGAGCCTTTAAAGTTTAAAGTACTCTACTTTACCAACACCACCTCAATTTCTGATTCTCACCATTGTTGCATTTTGCAGCTCTGCATATTTTCTTCCTGGAAAAGTCCCATTAAAACCGATACTCGCCTTATTGAATTGCTCTTCATGCACAACCCGACGTGCCTTTGTCTTCCATTTGATAATCTTAAACCGAACATTAGTTTTGACCCGAACCACAAACTCCAGATCTCCACCATTATCAATTCCTTTCCAAAATTCTCGACCCGAACGAACCACAATCTCATACACCGTGTAATTCTTGTAACCCTGATAAAAACCCGGAGTCGAGTTCCTTCCCATAAAAACCCTACTTTTCCCATACAATTCCAAGCTGATGGGATCATAGTAAATCCCCATACGCTTGTTTGGATTAAAGATTCTTAGTTCAAATGTTACACTGCTGTTCGGAACTCGAACCGTTGCATTGTGGTGAGACAAGCGATTGTCGTGATCGGAAGCATGTAATCGAGCGGCCGAGATTTCGAAATTCGGGTTTTTTGGGGTTAGGCTAAGCCATGCAACCACACCAGCCAAACAGAGGACAGTGAACACACAGAAGAACCAAAAGTAGAGGCCTTGTTCAGATTTGCTATTTTTCTTGGTAGCCATTTTAGTATGAGAAATGAAACTGTTGAGAAGGATAGTTTTGTGTACTAGGGTTGTAGAATGTGAAGGGTTTTGTTTTATATGAATGGAAGTTAGAAAGGTGACCGTGACTTTATTATAATGTAATAATAATGAGGTAAATTCAACCAAATATATGTGTATTAACGAGGATTNACTAGAGGGAATATTGTGTGTGGATTGTGATCTGTACGGAGCTGGAAAACAATGCCTTAGTCATGAAGGTTGATTAATTAGGCTGTCAAATAAAAAGTTTGAGCCTTTGGATTTTCTGGGCAATTTTGGAGATAAAGGGTAGGATATATATAAAAGTTAAAGTTAAAACACAGCTCTATATTTAAAAGAGAGATAATTTGTAAATAATTAACGCCGCCTGAGAGCCGAAGCCCAGAGGTGGATCATGTAGACCGGAGAGATAAACATCAATTTAATTTTATCTTTTTCTGTTTTGTTCTTTTAATTTTTTATAAAGTCTGGAAGGTTTGAGAAACAGGACTACGAGGTTGGATGGAAGTGTGATTAGTAATAATATTGGTAGACAAATATATGGTTAGCCTTCACATTTTCTCAGTATTAAAATATTATTGTTAAAAACAATATAAATATACATTTTACAATATAAATATACCAATACAATACTTGTGTATCACACGAGTGTTGAGTTAAAAAATATATTATAATTGTTATTGCTAAAATAAAAATTTTATTTAAAAATTTTGAATTAATGAAAAAAAAGAGAGGAACAGACAGTGCAAGAAATGGCTCAATTCTCCTAGCATAATGCTAATAATTGTCCATTGTAAATGGAGCTGGAAGAGTCATTGTTGACAATTCTCCTGGTATAGTGCTAATAATGGACTAGATCAAAATGGCTCAATTAAATTCTAGTGCTTCTTCTATTAGTGAAGTTTCTAGAAAAAAAAAATATATCAAACGGTGCAATGCACCTTGGGTCGCTACGGAAACAGCTTCCTTGTATAATTACAAGGGTAAGGTCTGCGTACAACTGACCCCCCAGACCCCAACCTGTTGGGAATATACTGGGTATGTTGTTGTTGTTGTTGTAATAGACAGTGCAAGAAATGATTTATAAATTGTAATTTAGGAGAGAAATGTGAGAGAAAAATATAAGATGGTAAGAATGTTACTTGCTCAAATTATGAAGTAAATTTGTACTAAGAGAAAAAAATAACAAAATTAAATATATACTTACTAAGTTTGAAAAAAGTTATTTATGTATATACCAAGCCTAATTCTAAAGCAAAAAAAATTAATATACAAACAACATTTCGAAGAATAAATTTTTGTTGTGTCAGCCTCCGATGCGTGTGAGACTGTCACTTAGGCTCAACACGTTTTGACTTAATAGATAGGGAGAGATAATGGATCGACGTACGTTTTGACTTAATAGATAGGGAGAGATAATGGATCGACGTGGTTATGATTGTGCCATTTATGTAATTAACGAATAAATTCAAGGGGAACTAGTATAGGAATACGGTGAGATCAATTATAATGTGACAATATATTTAATAGAATAATTTTATCTTTGAAGTGATATGATAATATTCGATCTATGAGAAATTGAGTATAGTTAGATTACAAGATCTGTTTGGAAACCTGTATTTTTCCCATGAATCAAAAAATGAGTATGTTTACATAATAATTTTGTCTTTGAAGTCATCTGATAATATTCGGCCTATGAGAAATTGAGAAGTTAGACTAGATTACTAGACCTGTTTTGAAAATTAAACTTTTCCCATTAATCTCAAAACGAGTTTATATACACAATAATTTTATCTTTGAAGTGATCTGATAATATTTGGTCTATGAGAAATTGAGTAGTTACGAGATCTGTTTGGAAAACAGAACTTTTTCCATCAATCACAAAATAAGTTTGTTTGTAAGAGTTTCAAGAGAAGTTAAAGTTATTTATATCAGTTTCTTTAACAACATTTTAATATTTCATCACATCTCCAGTTAGATGATTATACAATTATAATAATGATATAAAAAGATACCCGACATTTGCTCGAAAACACATAATTACGATAAGTACTTCTCGCCAAGGAGTCAAAGAACTCAGAGACATGTCATACTAGGAAACAAGATACAGTTGGATCTCTTTCTTAGTAATGAGGCTACTTGAGCAAGAAGACAACCTCCCTATAAAAGGAGGTTACCAAGTTCTGATATAATTTAACGCATATTACGCTTAAACAATTTTATTGCCCAGGTCAAGCTTAGAGAGAGCATTCTAGGGCCACGTACGAGCTTAACCCCAGTGACAGATCTTGTGCCACGGCCTAATTTGAGGCAAGAGTCACCAACTCCTCCGCCGAAAATGCCAACGGTGGCGAACTAGGAGCAAGTCGTCGTGGTTATGGCCACTGGACCCAACAAGAGGGTTGAGGAGCAGCACCTTGAGGTCTCTGGGTATACCCAGCCCTAGGGACATGGTGGACAAAAGAGAAACCACGATGAGATGGAGGTCCATAGAGGGAATAAGGTAATCCAACTCACTACGACGGAACTAGATAGAATTTTAGCTGAGGTTGTGGCCTGGGCCCAAGCACTAACGCAAGCGAACCCCATAGGTCCGCAGGCACAACCACAGGGAAGAGCAGAGGACGTAGAGGCGAGGTCAGTAACATCTTCGAGCACATTATCCGGCCTACCACGGACGCTACCTTAGAGAAGTAATCAACCCAGTTACACGAGCTACAGGCCCGGGGTAGAGGGAAGTGTTGGGATGTGTGAGGATCTCGTTATGTACAAATCACGAATTCAATAGCAAACGTAAACCTATGCGCAGTGGATCTAAAGGTTTGACGTAGAAAACTTACGGCTTAAAATTTTATGGCGATCTGGCTGATCTTCAGGATGATCGGGAACTGCACACGAACGAAACTGGATCACACGAACGGAAGCGGGGTCGCGCGATCGGGTCCTGTGAGTGGTCGGGTCATGCTAGTGGCTCGTGGTGGTTAGGCGGTCGTCGCGTCGGGATCGTCGCAGCTTCACGGCTCGACGGCAATCGGTCCGGCGGCTTCACGGCTGGTCAACGTCGGGTCGGTTGACGGGTCGCGTCCTCCGGGTCGTGATTCGTCAACTTCTGTAGAAGATTATAGGATCTCGATTACCTATGGATCTTCTATTGTATTACTCAAACACCCTTCTTCAACTTGTACCAGTGGAGCAACAAGAAGAAGATAAAGCTTGAATGAGAACCGAGAGAGAGAGAGAGAGAGAGAGAGAGAGAGAGAGAGAGACGCGTGAGGCGTGCGTGTCTCGTGAGAATGGAATTTTGTTCTCTTCTCATGAGTTTAATGATGTTTATATAGATCTACAGTAGGGACCCTTAGGAGATTAGGAATAGGGCTTCTTAATTAATTAGACTAACTGTTGGTCAAGCCCACTGCTCTAATTAATTAAATAATATTATGGGTCACCAACATAAATATTATTGACTCTCTTTTCCTAGCCCAAATTACATTTAAGACTCCAATTATAATTACTCGATTTACCTCCCCATGTTTAAGATATAATGTCTATTAATTAATCCGATTACTGACAATCAAGAATTAATTAATTTATTATTATTTCACCGAAGCTAGCGCTCGTTCATCACATTCTTATCATGCCGGAACTTAATCCACCTGCAAGGTTTATCATAACAATCCTTCATGAACTCACTCCGGGGAGATCATCAAACTAACGCACATGGTGACCGTAAATATTCTAACAGCACATACTATATATAGTAATATTACCCAAGACAGTAGGAATAATAATCCAGCGAACCGGACCTCACCCAAGTGAATCAAAGTAATATGTACTACAAATATATGTCTGTTTAATATCTTAAGGGTTAAGAGAACGCAGTAGTTAACCGAGGCCTAGTTCGTTTACGAAGATCAGTATAAAACGAACTTCTCTTCTCTGGGATCCCACAACATCAGAGGAGATTAGGCAGGAGGTTTGACCAGAGGTCTCCGATCAGGGAAATGATGCTAAAGATCATGCTAACCCAAGATCTCCTTACGTAGATAAGATTTGTCTTTCCTTATATACATTAGATCACAAAATTCAGAAAGTTTGTGATTATGCCAACCCAAGAGCTGACTTTTATTGTTCTCTCCTAAGCATATTGAGTTATTATAATTTTTTGAGAGTTTGTGATATTGTTGATTATATTTTATAACTTGTGACTTAGAAATTCAGTTTTGCGTTCCTGCATCCCAAAAGGACTGAAGCATAGGACCTTTTTACTTTTGATTATTACCAGTTTAAAAATATTCTTATACTAGTTGTTAGTCCACGTTGTGGCCAAGGAAGTTGTTAGTAGGATTGAGTATAGTTGTGGTAGGTTTAAGAGGGAGTCCTGTACTTGTAATTCCAAACTATATACTGATGGAGGCAACCGATTTTCTATTGAAAGAGCTATAAGGTATAGTGAAAAGCTCCCCGAAGGCAAATTTGTTAATTCTCACTTCTGCTTAAGTTTTATGTTCTTACACACGTTACACATTCTACTCCCCGATCCATTTTTCACCCGCGGAGTGATAATTTGCGTGCACCAGTGTCATTATTTTACATTGTCAATTGTTAGCCTAGCCCTAATAACCTTGCACATTTTTCCTCATCACAAAGTATATTAGTAGTATACATTAGTCTCGAAAGTATTGTACCATACTAACTATAATAAGTTGTAAACTACTGCTATTCAGATAAACCGACTAGACATTCATACTTTTTCAATAGATATACATATTGTTAAAATCTGAAGNCATTTCACATTAAAAAGAATTATTTTTACTAAAAAACTATATAATGGATCGATCAACCAACCATTAGACTGGTTGACACAAGGATTTGTGTACTAACATAAATTCACAAATTAAATCAACATTCCCTTCAATTAGAAAAAAAAAAAGAAAAAAATCATTAAAACAAAAAAATCAAACCTAAACTCTATACAATGCCAAGTTGGGGGTCCATTTACTTCTCTTATGATAGTAGACCATTTCTACTTTTCCGATCCATAACCTAAAGGTTTTTATCTCTCCTACACGATATGAAAAATATTGCAACAATACAACACAAATAAAATTAATTGTATCTTTACCTAAAAGATAATACTTAACTACATTAATTCATAATTCAGTTACCATGTCAGTCCAACTTCCACTCCTAATTTTTCCCATGATTTGCGTCCAGTTGCCTAAAAAAACAAATAAAAATATATTTTGAATATGGAATGAATATCATGAACTCTGACTAGTTACCTAACTTGTATATATCTCTTGTGTGGTTCATGTCCTGCGATCTCAAGCTTATACAAAACATAATTAATCCTGATGAAAAAACAAATCCAATTAGTAATCAAATTCTAAAGCCTCTCAAAACCACCCAATGTGGCATCATCAAGTCAAGATAAAAAGGCCATACTCACCACAAAGTAGACGTATCCCTGCCAATACACTACAAAAAATGCTTTTAATTCAGCTACCATGTTAATTTTATATATATTTTTTTTATATTTTCTACTTAATTTTATTCTTTCAATTTGTAAGATAAGTAAAAATAAATCATACATATACACAACAAATCCAACAAAAAAAAAGCATAAAAACATATCAGTATTAATGAATATTTTTAGTATATGTTGCGTTTATACCTCGTATATTTTCAATATATTTTTCGTATATTTTCAGTATATTTATACCCCATTTATACCCCGTCTTTGTTTACATAACTTTTACCGAGTCAAATGTCCGACTTCGCATGCAACTCTTGAACAACAAAATCAGTCCGTATATTTTTAGCATATGTTGCGTTTTTAATTACATAACTTGTACCAATTGTTGAATAACACACGAGTCATATATTGTACATTTACTCCAATTCAACAGTCTGCGATTTCAATGTGGTGGCCGCGGGATGGCTCGGGAGGATGCGAGTCATATATTGTATATATATTGTACATAGCCATGGCGATCGAAGATCTTGAGCACAACCAACTGAAAGAGAAGTCAAGAGAAAGCGTAGGGGAGGTGAGATGGAGGCGGCGAGACGGCGGCGGCGTCCACGAAACAACCAAAGGCAGGCATCTCTTCACAGATCTAAATCTCTGCCCGACGATGGGTTAGAAGAAGGAAAAAGGAAAAGAATCAATGAATTCTGAATTCTGGAAAAATCTAACAAAAAATATTGTTGCGATTATTAGGGCGAAAAAAAAAAATCGAAATTGAAAATCCGATGGTTGTGTCAGGTGGGGGCTCTGTGCTCCTAGGAGTGGTTGTCGTCGGTGAAGAAACGATGATAATAAATGGATTCCTCGTCTACACGCGCCATCACAAGCCTCTGGGGTTGGTTGTGCCCCTGTCAAATAGCTCATCAACCTCCTCGGAGTATATCTCTCTCGACGATAAACCAACGGATTTTGGGAGAATTTAGATATGGAATTGAAATTTTCACAGATTATCCTCGTGGATCTCAACAGGATTCCTGTGTTTTGGATATGGAAGAATAACAACAAGTGCTTCTGCGTACTCTGCACCGCAAGTTAGGTTAGTGGGCCTATTTATGTGAAGGTTTGTGAATGATATTAGGGATATTTGTAATATTCTGTGGTTGATTTACTTATTTTATAAATAAAAATATAATAGATATATAAATGTAATATAAATCACATCTGATGGTAAGGATGTAATTTCCTCTATCCTAAACTCTACAAACTACCAAAATCTTGAGATCTTTGGGCCTTAAAACGGTGACGGGCCTTCAAGTGAAGGATAATACTTGCTGTCAACTCTGGTTTTTATGTTGCCTTTAGCATTTAATTCCATGTTAATTGCACACATGAGAAATGAGAATATGAAATCTTTTTATTTAGGTTACCTAGAAAATCAAATATTGATACAAACACAAATTATATTATGAGGCAAATTAAAGTTAGGCGAGTCAGTTCCATACTTTTTGAACAAAATGTGCATTTATACTTTAAAATATTATTATATTAATTATGTTACTTCTAAATTACAATATTCGAGAATAATAAAAGTAACGTATATTTACCAAAGAGAAAAAAAAAATATGAATGTCTAACAGCAATTTTACCATAATATAATATCATAAAAACTCTATATATCTACTCAAAATGGGGAAAAAAATGTACCACAAAAAAAAAATGGGGGAAAAGAAAAAGAGTTGACCTAGGTTGCATGTGGTACAATTGGTACTCTAGTGTCACAAAACGTCTAACATTTAAAGGTGTTCAATCATAGCTAAGTGCCATTAAATTGAATACGAATTAAAGTCAAACAATTGACGAGCAATTTGGATGAGAAAATTGAACATTATAAATGCCTAACTGAATATCTATAATCTATTTAAATATGAGAAAATTTAAGTAATTTATTCAAGTTTTCTTTCTATAAATTGAGAAGTTAGAAGAAAAGAAAAATATCCTAATTATGAGAAGAATTTTTTAATTAGCAGTTGCGAAAACTATAACTTGGTATTAAAAATATGAAAATCAATGCCCGAAAGGACACTAAACTGTCAACTTGCAGCGAGATAGTCGGGCTGCTTTAGGCGTGGGAAAGAAGTGGACCACGGTCCATCCATAATCCATATATGCATCAACATCAACAACTTATAAATTATACTTATTTGATCAAAAGCATAATAAGTTATTGCATTATATGCAAGGTTTTTTAGAATTGAATATTAGTTATTCAATCCGTTGAGCTACCAATTAATTGGATGTTCACTTGTTGACTTAGTGATTGAATCGATTAGATTAATATTTAATTTATTATTTATTTTAAAATATATAGTACGTTAAATAATAAATTTTATAAATAAAAAAATCATTAATTAACTATTTATATAAACATTAAAATGGCTAAACTAATTGATATTATAATTTATTATATTTGTGTTTTCTACATTAAAATAAGTAAAAAAATTAGAGTGGTCCGACCGCTCGATTTTTCCCATTCTCATTAGTTCAGTTGGTCAACTATCGATTTTTGACTTGTTCATTTCAATGAATCGAACTAGTCTATGAAGCTATATTCCACCCCCTCTGATATGCGGGTCGATCCAATTTTGAAAATTAATCCTTGGTAACTTAAACTAG